TGTGCTGATAGCTCAGAGCCTGGAGCCCGTTTCGGATTCTGTGTCTCCCTCTCTCTCTGCCCCTCCCCTGCTCATGCTCTATCTCCCTCTGTCTCAGAAATAAATAAAACATTTAAAAAAATTAAAAAAAAATCTTTGATCCATTTTGAGTTAATTTTTCTGACTTGTATGAGGTAGGGGTCTGACTTCATTCTTCTGCATGTGGATAACCAGTTGTTTCATTACCATTTGTTGAAAAGACTATCCCCGCCCCCCCCCCCCCCGCCAGGAAATACTTAAGGACAAAATTTTCAGAGGCAATCCCGATGTTTCAGTGTCTAATGAGAGATCCACAAACAGAGAATGGAAACTGATATTTACTGAGATCCTAGTATCCAGGCTACAGAATCCTCCTAGGAAAGATTGGTGAATCCCAGGCATATCCATTTCCAGTCTCTTATTTATACCTATGATAGAAATTACTAATCAATCACAGCACTTACTGGCTGAGACTTGATGACTGCCCGGGCTGACACGAAGGAGTGGTGTCCCAGGAAGATCATTTTGGGAGGAATTAATATAGTGAGGTTAATTTTGACTGTGTTGAGTTTGTTGTGCATATGGGTGGTAATAGGTGGTTGGATATAAAAGACTGAAGCCCAGGTCAAGGGAGAGGTCTGGGCAGAGAGAGACACTTGAGTCTTTGGCATGTAGACGGGAGCAGATCCAGTCTCTTAGAGTGAGTGACAAGGCAAGATAAACTGGGAGTCTGATGAGCCTACAAATGGGGTCAGAAGGGACTGGCTTGAGAGGTAGAAGAAAAACCAGGAAAGAGTACTGGCGAGGAGACCATGGAGAAAGGGTGATTTAGGGAAAACATATGATAGCATCAAATGTTGGGAGAAGTTTGGTAAGGTGCAGATTGGAGAGTATCTCTGATTATTATGAAGTTTTTAAATTATTTTTTAAAACTTTATTTATTTGTTTTGAGAGAGAGAGAGAGAGAGAGAGCAAGGGAGGGGAGAGAGAGAGAGAGAGGGAGTGAGATTGAATTTCAGCAGGCTCCATGCTGGCAGTGCAGAACCTGATGCGGGCCTTGATCCCATGAACCGTGAGATCATGACCTGAGCTGAAATCAAGAATTGGATACTTAACTGACTGAGCCATCCAGGAGCCCCTATGAAGAAGTTTTTAGTCACCTTGGTGAGTGTAGTTTCAGTGGGATAGGGAAGGTGGAAACCAGATGCTATAGTCTGAAAGGTGAACTGAATGTGAGCAAAGACTCACGTTGGTGAAATCTGATCAGAGAGATAGAGATAGGTCTTAGAAAACCAACAAGATTATTGTAACTTCTTGGAATTTAAAGAAAATCTGAAAAAAATATAAAGAAAATCCGAGGTCAAATAAAAGGATCTGTAGACTAAGAAAAAGTGTCTAAGGGAAGATGCGCGTATCTGTGCTTGATCCAGTTCGCATGTACAATATCAAACCAACTGCGCCATTGTTTGAGACAGATCCTGCAGAAATGGATCCTAAATAGTGGGGGGGGGGGATTAATTTCAAGTGCAGGCTTTGCTAAAGAATATGTACTGACAGATAAAGCACAAATCCCTAAGCTTGTGTTTCTCACAGAAGGATCCACATGATCACCTGCATCAGAAATCCAGAGTGTTTCAAAAATGTTCATCCCTGGGATGTATTCTGGACCTACTGAATTGGGATCTCATGGTGTAAAGCCAAGTTTTAATAAACTCTCTGGGTTTAGAAAGCTCTAGAAGACATTTGCCCAGTGTACAGCTAATGATAGGGATATTACTAACTGTTCCGTTCATAGGATTCTTTAGCAGTTTCATGACACTGGTAACTAGAGCCAGATTAAGAACCTTGTCTACTGGGCAGTTGCCTAGAGTAACCATCTATAGATGGAGTTAAAATATTCCTGTAATAAACAGCTGAAAACTGGGTCCACTTCAGTCAAAGTAGTGAGGGGAAAAAATCCCAAACCTTTGTTAACCTCAAACTGTCTTTTTTGAATATTTTTTGAATATTATTGAATATTTTTAGGATGAGCACAGGTGGCTGTCAGCTAAGATTTTGCAACAGAGTTATGTATGGTTTAGTGTTTCTAACTTGGAACTAGTGATTTATTTGAGCTGAGTCTTAAATCATTTAACGGTTCCTTAAAGTGTTCTGCTTTGGGAAATTACCCCCCTCCCCTGACACTGTAAACAACAGCAACAACACAAAAAACCAAGACTCAAACAAGCCCAGAGACAAGTATAAGAGCTGCATAAAGGAGAGTCGTGTTGCTTAAATTTATCAGAAAATGGACACTGTCCTGGCCAGTGAAATTAACTAGGGAAAACTTTGCTTCAACCTAAAATATTCCCTACCAGAAAATTAGTTTCACCTTGTTTCACTAAATAAACGTGAAACAAAAGGTGTAAAATATTGGTTTGAGGAGGTGCAAAATCATCCATTTGGGTGGGTTCCTATGAGCCTTGGTTGACTCTGAATGTAATCCTGAACATTTGAATTAATAACTGAAATGATTTTGATTCTAAAAAGTATTTACTGAGTGCCTACAGAAGACAAAGTTTGTGCCATCATTAAGTTAACAAGAGCAAGACAGATACTAAATAAGTAATTCAAAAATATTTTTATACGCTTCTGTTTGGTGAGGCTTGTGTGTTGATAAACATGTGATAAATGTTCTCAAAATATCTGCTATGTAACACACAGAAAAAGTAGATGTTAAAATGCAAGTGCATAATAAGTGGAAAAACTTAGAATTCAGAGATTTCATTTACTTTGATATTTCAATAATAAAAATATTAGAAATGTGACATACTTTGAATTTTAAGAATAATTCCAAATTTTCACGGACTTTTTATCTAGCAGGTGTGAGAGATAAGCCCACTGACCCAATCAAAGGAGGGACGCAAGGACTAGGAGCACAGTGAGGCAAGGGTTTAATCAACGGACTTGCAAGAGCGGGTGTCTGATGGACAGGCACATTTGGGGCACTCACAGCAGGCAATTTATCTCCTAGAGTGCAAGTCCCTCCCCTGATTCCTCATTGGCTGAGTACTACAGAGCTTACAGCCTTACCCAGACATCACCTATGCCCATGTAAGGAAAAAAGTAGTCTGATTGGAACAAACGTACATTCTCTGAGGTAAGGCAGAGACTTTTAGTCCCTCCTCCCTTTATTCTACGGCGCATGCTCATTGCAAAGCCCATAAAAAGGTCCATGCTCATTGCAAAGCCTGTGAAAAGAAGCCCATGAAAAGAAGCCCACAAAATGGAGAGGGGAAGAAGAAGAACGAGGAAGTGAAGTGTCTGAAGGTTTGGGACTCCATTGTGTGTGTGTGTTTGGGGGGGGGGGTGTACATATTTCCAGTAGGTTGTAAACCTATGTTAACTGGACAGCACATGAATCATCTCTCTTACTTCTCACAGGAGGCTATCCAATGTTAGTTATTCCTTGTTAACTAACATTGTCTATAAATTAGAACACTATTTGTACATTTTCTAGGGCTAACGTTAAAGGAATGGTTAAAACATTGTTATAGACAAAAGTGCTAAAATGTTTTAAACACCATCAATCTATTAGTTAGAAGTATCTGCCCACTTTTTTCATTTGTTCACGTGTTTCCATCATATAAATCATTTATATCTCCTTCTCTCTGATAAAGGCAATCAGTAATTTACCAATTAAATTTTCTTTATTCCCCTTATTATTGAGTCAGTATTAAACTACTGAACTAACAATGTTTCATGTTTGCACGAAAATGAATTCCCTAACATGCCATGGTATTCATCCCAAAACACAGGGCAGAACATATAGAATGATAAAATTCAGACAACTTTATAAATTATAAGAACCTTGCTAACCTGTTATCCTGGAAAGCACAGGAAAAGCCTTTATAATTCAGACATGCAATCACCTGTTGATTTTTCTTTTCTTTCTTTTTTTTTTTTTTGTTTTGTTTAAAAACTTTTTTTTAAAGTTTATTTATTTTGAGAGAGAGAGAGAGAGAGAGAGAGAGAGAGAGAGAGAGAGAGAATGAATCTCAACCAGGCTCCACACTGTCATAGTGTGGAGCCTGATGTGGGGCTTGAACCCATGAACCATGAGATCATGAACTGAGCCAAAATCAAGAGTTGGACCCTTACCTGACTGAGCCACCCAAGCACCCCTGATTTTTCTGATGGCTGACTTTGGCCTTTTAGAGTTTAGTCAATCTGATTCTCTGACTTGGAAGCTAGAGGCTGGAAGTAGCATAAAATGCACAGGGAAGCCTTGTTTGGGAACTTGGCTATCTTCTATCACGAATGGTGTCACACAGGGAGCTTTCTTCCTATGGATATTCATATTACTCACATGGAACTAGAAGGAAAATAATTTGACAGATTCTATAGTTGTGGTGAATAGGTTGGGCTTTGAATCAGACCAGGTTTGGAGTCCTGATTCTATAATCAAGCTGTGTGATTTGGATAAAAGGTAAAACTTTTGTTTTCTACCTATAAAATGGAATCTACTTTGTAGACATGTCATAAAGATTAAGTGAGAAAACATTTTTTAACTGATAAGCTGATATGCCATGAACATAGTCATATAATATTGCTGAGAAAGATGACTAAAAGTTATACATATATACTTTTAAAAAACACTTTATAGATTTAAAAGTACTTTTTGCATACATTACTTCAAAATTTCTAAAGAAGCAAACTCCTTTTAGAGCCATGCTGGTGGAATCTTGTCATTGATTTCAGGAAGTAAAATATACAAGCGGGAGCTATTTGATTTTGTAGAACAAGGTCATTTTATTTAACTAATGGGAGGGCAGAGGTGTTAAGAATTTTGCTTAGCCTCACTGACCTCATTGCCTTAAACATAGTTATGTTGGCTGTGAGACAAAGGGGAAGGATTTTTCCTAGACCTGCTGATCCACTGAATATGCTAACCATTGGCATGTGACGAGATGGTTTCACTTTCAAGGTCCTCAAGATAAATAAGGCTTACAGCAACCATGGGCTTCCTAAGGGATCTGAGAAGGAGGAAGTCCATCTAGACAGTGGGTTGTACTGGATGCACACCTAGAGACAAATGGAAAGCATAACACAGCTCAGGAGAAGCCCAGAAATGAATATCAGAAAGTCAACAGAAACCGGATAAAGTGTGACACATTTGACACAAAAGTGACATTGATTCTCCTCTTCAGTGTGGATTCCCAGAGTGACTGAAGGATGGGAATCAGAAATCAGCCTAAAAGATGACTTGACTTAAGAAATCTGGGGCTATTGGCTTTTATTGTTTAATTGGAAACCTCATTTTGAGTGGAAGAAGTAACCTGATTTTTAGGTAAATCTATTCAATTGTGGAGAAAAAAAATAAGGACTTGTTTGTGTTTGGAGGGAAGGCTACTACTGGTTGTTTCATGTCGACTTTGAAGAGGACCCTTGAATTTTAGAAGCAGGTACTGCCAGATTGCATCTTTGGTCACACCTTCTGAGTTATTTCTTAATGTCTCCTGAGTGAGGCTGGTTATCCGTGAACTGCGTCATTGCTCAGACGTGGATGGATCCCTGTGGGTCTGTCTGTGTTTGCGATGGAATTGACAAAAATTTGTCGATTGAGCCTTCTGTACAGACACTATGCTAAATGTTGGGTGTACAAAATATGGACAAACAGTCTTGATGTCATGGAGCCCACACTCTAGAAGCAGTTGAATACATAGAGTGTGTCCCCTTTTTGGCTTCTGTTTGTCTTCTAATTTACTTCTCTACATTCAAAAGTTCAGATACTTGTTTGGAGATGTATTGAGTATGAATTAACTTATTTTGGTACAAGCCCACTTCTTTTCTGGAGTGAATACAATGATACCTTTTATGACATCTGATGGCTTCTGCGGTCAATAAAACCTATCTAATAGGATGGTTAATGTTTGACTGAAGTCTGAAGGGAGAGGCTGGGGAAGCAGAACAGTGCGGAGGGAGTGTTCTCCAGGGAGATTCTCAAGCCCCAGCAAGAGCCTCAACAGCTGAATGGAAGAAAATAACTTTTAACGGCCATTTTGTTATTTACTTACAGAAAGGTAAGGGTTGACATGTCTTAACTATGTTGATAATGTACTTCTTCAAGAATGACAAAATAGATGGTGGAGGGAGAGTACTTAAGTTGCTGGACAAATTTATTCCTTGAAGAGTGCTATGTAGCTGGGAAGGGAAGGGAAGCTTATTTCTGGTGTGACAAGTTTTGCTTAGGGAGCATGATTTCTTTCTCAGTTTCTTTTAATTAGCCTCTATTTTATAAATTTAATGAAATATCTTTGGTTGAATCAAGCTTGGCAGTGTAAACAAAGAAAATATGGAGTTTTGGGATGTTTAAATGGGTATTATACCCATTCTTTCTGATTAAAATATAAGAGCGCCTAGACCTAAGATGCTCTGGAGCTCTTGTATTCCAGAAATTAGAACTGGAATCTCATTCTTAAAAAGTGTTCTCTCTCAGATGTGGTCTTCAAAAAATGAGCATTCTATCTACTTCTCAGAGACTGAGATTAAATTTAGGATTCTTGGGACTGTCTGGGACACAGTGGGGGAGGGGAAATGCATAGGAGAAAAGAAACCCTTTTCTTAAAAGTATTGGATATAAGAATTGAAAACAACCAAAAAACAAAACAAAAACAAACAAATGAACAAACAAAGAGTTGGAAACAGACAGACCTGCAAGCAAGTCTTGGGAAAGCAAGACTTATTGTATGTGTTGGTCAGCTTTTGGTGTTTCTTTCCACCTCATTGGTAGATGTACCATCTGCTAACAAGTGATTATTTTGAGATGTCAAGTTGTGTACAGCCTATTGTGTCTTCAAAGGTCCAGTCTCTGCCTCTGTCTTGTTTTTTTCTTTATTATGGGTGACTTTTGCGGGACAGATGCTGTCTTTGATGGGGGATGCTGAACAGGAGATTAGAAGAGCAATACATTCTCTGATATTTTCTTGTTTTTATTTTTCTTCAGAAACTTAGATAGCAAGTGAAAAATCCTTTCAAAGAGAAATAAAGCACATGTTTAGGTGACAAGAAAAATGGATGACATTTAGCTCTCACCAGGAAAAAAAAGAATCACTGAGTAAGGGTTTATCGCAGATTGCAGGGTATATAGTTTATGAGTCTTCAGGGTTGGGCAGATGGGTTAGGCCAGTTTCATCATTTACCAGCCAGCAGGCATTGAGCAGATTGCTTAAGCTCCCTGGACCTTAATTTTCTCATCTATAAAATGGAGATACTTGCCCAACCAAGCAGTTGTGAGAATAAATTAGATAAGCTTGTAAAGAATTTGGTACATTGCTTGCCATGTGGTAGCTGTCCAATGAAAGTTGGCTCTCCTGTCCATTAAAAAGGTCAAGTAGGTGATTCAGGTCAAGCTGAAAAGTTGTTGTTTCATTTCCTAGGGAAAAACAACAGTAATGTTACAGTAATGGCATTTTGGGCAAGAGAGCAACAGATTCTATTCTAAGGACATGAAATCCAAAGATATAACAGAATGATGAAACAATTGGGCTTTGTTTTTTTGTTTGTATGTTTTTATGAGAGGCATTTAAAAGCCCCTCTGATGTCTGATGTTTTGTATATAGTTGACGCTTGAACAACATGGGTTTGAACTCTGTGGGTTCTCTTAGGAACAAATATTTTCAATAAATACAGCACAGTCCTATAAATGTATTTTCTCTTCTTTATAATTTTCTTTATATTTTCTTTCCCCAACTTATTTTGCTATAAGAGTACAGTATCTAATAAAACATAGAAAATATGTATTAATTGACTGGTTTTGTTATCATAAGGCTTCCAGTCAACAGTAGGCTATTAGTAGTTAAGGTTTTGGGGAGTCAGAAGTTGTATGGAGATTTTTGACTGCACGGGGGTTTAGTGCCCCTAACCCCTGAGTTGTTTAAGGGTCAACTGTGTAAGTTTTTCAGTGGGTGTGGCATCCTTTGAAACTTGCCTCAGTGACCCCTGGGAAAAGTCATTGTTGTTCAAGATGAAGGTTACCTTTCCTATGCCTCCTCCCTTCTTTTATGAAAAGCAAAATATGTGCTGGCAGGAACTCAACTTAGAAGTCCCTGGAAAGGAGAATGCACCCCCACTTTTCTTCCATGTTAAGAGAGGTGACTCTGAGAAGGAAAGCTGAGCACGAATCATCCTGCTTCTTTTTCCAAAGGCTCACAAATAAGTGCTTTTATGGGTGTTAGTTTACATGGATAAAAATCTATAGATTTAACTGTTGGCATAAAATTGCATTCATTCAGAAATCCTTGGTCTCCAGCCTAGACTGGGGCTCATTCTGTGGTCTACTCAATGATTCAACACAGAAAAAGTACTTCAGTTTGTTACGGGAGTATCTATCTACCTATTTGTTACTTGTGACAACAAATAACAATGTTTACTGAGGTACAGTAAATATAAATGTAATAAAAACAGATATTTACTTAGTGGTTGAAGTAATAAAAAAAAAAGTTGATTTTCCACTTAAGCTTATATAGCAGCCCAAGCTATGCTCGGTTAGTGTATGTGGCACAAAGAAAACTTAATTTTTCTTAAAAGATTCTCTAAGACTGACATATGGAATTTTCTCGTCCATGATATTCTGAATCAATAATTTCTTACCATATTTTAATTATTTTTAAAAATTAAGACATGTGTTCTTGACAAAGAGATAAAGAGAAGTCAAAATGGTAGATTTGTAGTTTTAAAGAATGTTTAAACTAAGGATGAATACCTTTTCTGTTCATCCTAGGGAGGGTTCTGTGCTTGATCTGTGCAGTCAGATTGGTGCCCCTTCCTCAACCTCTCTGAGCTTAGTTTCCTTCCCTATAGGATGACAACAGGACCTACCTTATAGGATTGTTGTGCTATTTATTTTTTTAATTTATTATTACTATTTTTTAATATTTATTTATTTTTGAGAGACAGAGAACGAGTGGGGGAGGGGCAGAGAGAGAGGGAGACCCAGAATCAGAAGCAGCCTCCAGGCTCTGAGCTGTCAGCACAGAGCCTGACGTGGGGCTTGAACCTGTGAACTGTGAGATCACAACCTGAGCCAAAGTCCAACGCTTAACTGACCGAGCCACCCAGGTGCCCCGGATTGTTGTGCTATTTAAATGAAATAAGTTATCCAAAGCGTTTGACTTAGTAAATGCTCATAAAATGCTGATTAAAAAAAATTTTTTTTTCAACTATAAAAAAACTAACTCACGAGAGATTTCATAGTGGCATGGTATTCTTTATTAAGATAGAATTAAATTCATTTTTCTTTTACTCTCTGACTCATCCCAGCCGCCAATTATGATTTAATTCAGGGATTGGAAAGTGAACCTGCTATAGTTGAGCATGTCTGTACATTTTTGTCATGAGAACCCTTGCCTCAGGGCTACTTTATAAATGAGCTAGTATTACAACAAGTGTTTTAGGGATTCTTGTTTTGTTTTGTTTTGTTTTGTTTTAATCTCTGTGTCCAAACCCATTGGGATGAAATCTAATTTAGATTTACCTCACAAGGAATTTCTAAGGCCAGAATGTGTGATTTTATTATACTGGCAAATACTTGTCTGTGTCCTTTATAATATACAAGTCACTGTTGTATCATGAGAAAGCACTTTGTCAAAAGCAATTCAGCCATCTTTTATGAGAAATAATGATTCCTAGCCTCCTCTTTAGGCCAGGGAAGGCCCTTACGATGTTCTGACAGATACGGAGGAAAGCACATCTTTCCCTTGTGGCCTCCCGAGGTTTCTGAGGCGTCAACCTGCACATCGCAGGGAAGGCAACACTGACGTCTTACGGCCAACCTGCCTGACATGTCAGGCAAGCACCACGACTAGGCATCCATCTATGCCCATTGGGGCCCTCCCTTCCCTTTGACCTCCCCTGACCACCCTCTCATTCAGGGATGGGGCATCCTGTGCGACTCTGAGGAGAGGGCTCCTCACTCCTGCTGCCCTTCCCTTACTCCCTTCCTGGGAGTGTTGGGTGGAATAAAGCTAGGCAGGAATAGGCATAAGCACATGTCTCAAAATGTTTCTTAGAGCTCATTTCTTCTTTAATACGACTGATTCCAGTAGTCATTTGTATTTAAATTGATCACATAAATTAAAAACATTTTAAGTCCTGGGGGAGGCCGTCTATCTTTCGTGAGCCCATTTATCTTGACCACGAACCTATTGATACAAATAATCACTCTCAGTTTTGCAGATGTGTAAATCCAGATTTTCATACACTGAAATGTTGGCATATCTACGTTACAAAGCTTAGCGAGAGAACAAAGTGCTTCTATTTGTGTGCCCGGGGGTGGGCGTCCATCCCTCATTTTCTTCTTTCCTTCCTCCTAAATCAGTCTGAAGGATGAGGCAGCGGCCCTGCTTTTATGCCTGCCTGTTTACTTCTAGCTTATTAATGGCCGCTTTAATTGGGTCCCTAATTTGTCAAGAGTGCAAATTGATCAGATCTTCCTGTGATTTTTCTAGACCTTTAGAGATGTAATTGGTGCCAGAGATTTGTGAGCAAGACCGACAAGATGGGCATGATTGATCTGAACATTGCTTGATGAACAATGGTGTGAGCAGGCTTTTAATCTGATCTTTATTCATATCTGGCCTTGCTTTATAATTTATGGAGCTCTTAGCAATATACAGTGCAGAGATGAAAGAAATGGTACACAGGATATATGGTGCTGTTGGGCCCTGGCAGTATTATGAAGTCCAGTCACATCCTTTCCTGCCCACATCACCTATGAAAACAAATTTTCTAGTCCTTCCCTCCTGCACCTCCTTTGTTCTTTAGAAATGCATAGTTCAACCTTTGAGCAGGGTAAATTATTTGAATTCAAAGCCCTTAATGCTTCATTTTTTTTTTTTTTTCTGTGAAGGATGAGCGATGACTAACTCTATTTAAGGTTTGCCTTTCTCGCTTTTTGCAAGGGGGAGAAAATCAATGCTTGTGTGTTGAGTTACTTGAAGGTTTGGAGACTTGGGATCTAGAAATTCCACGTCCTTACTCAAATAAAGGGGGAAATGACAAGAGTGTCTAAAAATGCCTCTTG